TAAATGGCCGATTCATTCTAGTATGGGACTTCTCAGTAGTTCAGGACCTTTAGTCTTGCACGCAAACGCTTAACTTTTAGATCAGCGCCCAACAACTGTACGTTGCATCCAAGTTTTCCATATGTTAATTGATTGTTATTAAAAAAGAGATCGAATAAGTATGGACTCATTACATAAGTAGTTTAGTGATGTATCATACAAAAAGGGATTGTCCAGTTTATAATAAACAGTTTAAAATATTAATAGTAATCATATGGTCCCTAGTGAGTAAATATGAGACAAGTTTTCTCTTGAGAAGGTGTAACCGATGCAGTTCAATAATGTCTGGTATGACATATGTAGCATTGATGAATACAGATGATGGTCTTTCACTATTTATTATTAATTATAGTTTAAGATCTAAACTGTTATGTGTCATTTCAATGGTATAAAAACATTTGGAGTCTCAGTTAGTGAATCAGAGATCTGGAGGTAGAGTTCCATGATAGATTACGATCCTGTATTACTGAGTTATTTCAAACTAAGACTAAATTGCTAACAACTGATTTTCAATAATCAATACTTGCTTAACTAAAAATAGACTTTTTTAATTGAGATCATGAACTGATCAACAGTAGATCACTATTGGAAACCCGAGATTACTGGACAGTTGTCCCGTCGTAGTATGAAAATCCCCAGTAGTGCGTCTCCATTATCCCGCATGCGGGACTCGAGCTCAGGACCTTCGATCTCGCGCGTGAACGTTTAACCTCCAGACCTATAAGATAGCACCCGACGGCAGTCTAGTGCTTCCAAGTTTTCATTGATGTTCTAACATTGATCAGTTCATGATCTTAATTAAGAACTCAACAATCTTCACAATCCTATAATGATAGATGTAATCTGTCATAAATACTATACATTACTGGTATTTTCGAACATTTTACCAGGAATTAGAAGACATTACAGCATTACATATTTGTTTATCCAGTAGAATAATATGTTATAAATTCATTCAGCTAATGTTTCAGTATTGACTGAAATCATACTTACGAGTAATATTACTCTGATTATATATCAGTCAAGTTTATACCAACTAAGTGAATTTAAACTTCAACTCATTGCACAAGCAGGTGGCTATCAAGACCCACTGGCTAAGTGGATAACGCGATGACGTTTGGAGCGAACAGTGCTGGATTCGATCCCTGGAGTGAACGTCAACTCTGGGATGCAGGTACATCCAGCTGACGAGTCCTAAAGAAGACGAGACGCTCGTTCTGGATTCCTCTGCTAGCCACTATCCATCTTTGCTTAAAACAGCCAAGTTTATATTTAACGTTAAATCTTGTTGTGGTGGACGAGAACACAAGTGGGGACAACCAAATATATTTGAATACAAAATTACAGAATACCTTAGTAAAATCTGAGAATCACACAGTGAATACTTCACTTGAAAAATATCAATCAATTGTCTCAGACTTTATTGTTCCTTCATTTACACACCAATCATTCTCTGTTCCCTTTCTCTTTTCCTCGATCTTCTTAATCTTCTGCCTCTTGTTGTAACGTGTGACTGCAGTTTATGGATGAAGCAGCGTTTTATTGATCGATTCAGTGACACGGAAAACACGTACGGACGACCTAGAGTCCCGACCGGTCCTGCTTCCCTGTCTAGCCCAGCCAGTTGAGTCCAGAACACAAGTCTTAGCCTCTGAGATATGAATCATTAGATTTCAAACACACTCTGTTTATATACTAATCAAGCAGACCACATCGTACCATAAAATAGAAAATAACATTGTACAATATTGACCAGTAGGAAAATGACACGTGAAATAAACATTGACCAATGAAGAAATGACACCATCTCAAGTCCAAGGATAGTGTTAGACTTAACAGAATAATTTTTGGAATATTTTCCTGAATATCCCAACACCTCTAAACATTTCACTTTCGATTAATGATACATACTACTTATATTTATCGAAATAAGTAGCATACACCATATTCTTAGTTATGATAAACGCCAATCACATTTCACCATTCCTAAGAATGTGCTAATCAAAGAGTTATGATTTGAGAGTTATATGATAATAGACTGGATGTTAAATATGTTGATCAATCATTAAATAGTGGATTCATAGTATTACTCAAGTACAATACTTTTATAACATTGTTGCCAACTGTAGTGAAGATAACATAGAATCTATTGCATTGAAAACAAACTAAATGAACAATGATAATGCAATGATAGTTCAACAAAGTAGAATGAAAAGAATCTGTCTATGAAGAGAGTGTTTATGTCTGAGACTTATCAATAGTAGAATTCATTAAATGAAGCCTAATAGGAGAAACAGGCGTAGACGAGGAGGTTAATATTGTTCTTAAAACAACATTGTTCGAGTTAAAAAATGAAATGCTGTTATGCCAGTAGTGATGTAGTCACCCATAAATAGAGATTAAATGTGGTCACTAGTGAATAGATTTGTGAGGGAATTCTTGGAGTTCTAGTGAGAAGCCGTGATCAGTGGAGCTAATCCGTGTCGGGTAGAGACAGGTATCTTCTACCTCAGTACAATGGAAGATGGTTGTACAATTTCGTGGATTAGTTGAAGTTAGATAATAACACCATCGGATGCCGGCCGATCAGTGGTCTAATGACTAAGTGCTCGCGCGTGAGACTGATAGGTACTGGGTTTGAATCTCGTGAAACAGGATCGTGGATTCTCACTGCTAAGATGTCCCACAATAGGGACGAAACGACGTCACTGCTTTCAGGTTTTAAATGGTAGTCTATAACATCAATCGGTTCATGATCTCAATGGTTTTCCAACTCCCTTATGTTGATCATCTGTATCCAACAACCCTGTTAGAGCGCATATAAGGATATAGTACAGGAAGAAAGAATTAGTTGATAGAAAGAAAAATATGAAGCGATTTTAATCTCATAGTTTAAGGGAAGACAGACAGTGTATACACCTACGCCATTGTGATCGATTCTGAGCCATGTCATTCAGGGTCTACAACCATTGGTTACGATAGTCACGCGGACCCCAACTAAGTAGTCTGCATCTATCTAGTTCTCATGACCATACTTCATAGAATGAATAGACAACAGGACGGTCTCCTTGAATATCTGCTTTAATATCTGAGCTACCTGTTCCTGCCATTTAGATATTTCAACAAGTTATCTGTTACCTTGTTTCTTTTAACAAATCATCATTGTCAATTAATTACACAACCTATTCAGGCGCGTTCGTGAAATGTTCACAACCTTTTACCGTACAAGTTACAAATATCTGCAATGGTAGACATTGTGATATCTGGCAATGTGCATAGAAAAGAACATACATTATTCAAATGTCGATTTCTAAACTGCTAACGTCTATCTGGCGATTGCTCAATATGTTATCGTCAGGATCAATCAAGAAATAAGAAAAGGAAACTTGTTGAAATACTTTGTGTTGAGAATTTTATATTCTACCAAAATATAATATTGAATAAAGCTAATAATAATAACAATAATTTTTAAGCAAAAAGGGATAACGCGATGTTGTTTGAAGCGAACAGTACGGGGTTCGAGTCACAGGGTGAACAACAACTCTGAGATACAGGTTCATCCAGTTGACGAGTTCCAAATACAACGAAACGGTCGTCCTGGATTCCACTGCTGGCCACTATCCATATTTGCTTAGAATGCTTGTAAATTAAGGCTACATCGAGGCAATCCTCACAGGATGCACATATGCCAATAAGCGAATGATCAACTGTAACCCTAAAAATCAATGGGAAGATTAAACTAAACAATATGAAATGAATTCATTAATTTTGTTTTGTCTTCTTCATAGTTTAATGAATTAGTTAAAAGAATATGACATCGAATTATGATTTTGATTGTTTGAATAACTGAATAACAATCATCATTATTTATATTTACTTACTTACACCTGTTACTCCTCGTGGAGGAATATAGGCCGCTCACTAGCATTCTCCATCCAACTCCATACTGAGCAATCCTTTCTAACTCTTTCCAGTTGTTATTCATCCTTTTCATATCTCCTTCTTTTTCCCGACGTAATGTGTTCCATAGCCTTCCTCTTTTCTACTTCCCTTCTGTTGGGGTGATCTAGTAAACTTCTTGCAAAAGCCAAAAAAGACTCAGAAAACACTAATAAGCATTTTATGCAATCAGCGTCCACTAGACGTTTGGCCAGAAACATCAAGAAAGTGAAAAGTCACATGTAGAGTTCCTGATTGACTGATTACTATATTGCTACTATGTTTAGCAGCATTCCAGAATCTTCGGGAAACCCAAGGACATCGAAAATACTATAAATACCCTATATTTTCTGTACTAAAACGAACCATTAGGGTAAAGTGCTTCTCGAATATTTTGCGCTTTTTCTCTCGCCTTCAGGTCGTTGTGTAGTTCTAGCTTGAGGGTTACGAGAATAGCTTAGGAATCGAATATAGCGTTCAATTAGCAAGACATATCACCTTCAAGATTTCAAGTTACAGCTTGCTTTACGATACAGTTTGATGATTTCTGTAATATATGTCCTATCCATTTCTCTCGCCATTTCCTAATTTCCTTTTCAGCTGAAAGCTGGTTTGTTCTCTTTCACAGTAAGCTGTTGCTGATGCTATCCTGTAACTGTCATTACTGATTATAATCCATTTAGTTGACATGGCAACATAGAATTGATCTTTAATCAATTTTATTTTTCTTAACTTTCTTTCTTTTAGTCTAAAATTAAAGAATTAGAAAAACGTTGTGCATTACAATTATTAAGACATGAAGAAATTTTATTAGAAATTGAAGATGTACGTAAACGTAGTTGTATCCAATCGAATAATTCATCAATGATGATGGCAACTACAACAACAACAACAACATTGAATTCTATAAAAAATCAATTACATAATGATATTGATTCAATTAATCAATCAACATCATCAATATCTTCTTCTTTAATCAATAATAATAATAATAATAAAGTTTATGGTCGGTTATTACAATTAGGCCAACAGAATAAATTGAAACAAGATTATATACAATCTTATGAAATGGATTCATCATTATTATTAGATCCATCATCTTCGACATTAGATATAATAGGATTCAATAAACAAATGACGAATAATAAACAAGTTAAAGGCAGATTATTTCGTAGTAATACTGATCTACAAATACCCGGTAAGTTTTTTTTTGAATAAATGTTTATAATACTATTGTATTTATAAGTGGTATGTTATTACATATTTGAATGTCAGTCAGTCAGTAACAACGTAAAACTTCGTACGGACATACATCAGTTCGAGTTGCCACACCACATTAGCACAGAGATGCAGTGGTCGATTCAAATCCCATAGTCGTAGAGGTAGTAAAAGTATAAACAGTAATCGGAAACATTAGGGTTTGAAGATGTTATTCAAGGAGTATAATCCAGTGAAATAAATTTGGAAAGAGAAAAAAAGAAGGGGCACGAAGAATTCAGAATATTAGAATTTGGAAGAACACAAAGAGTGTATGCACCTGCCCCATTGCAAACGATTTTGAGCCATGTCATTCAAGGTCACTAACCATTGGTTTCTATCATCTCGCGGTCCCAAACCAGGTAGTTGTTGGGGCCGATAGATCCCCAAACTCATATTTTTAAATTTTATCTTATCGATCAACTTATCGATTAAATGTTTTAATGGCAGTCAGTTGATGAACTTATCGATTAGATGTACAAATAGGTCAATTGATGAACTATCGATTAAATGTTAAATAGCGGTCAATTAATGAACTCATTGATTAATGTTTAAAAATTTTCCATGACAATATCGATTGTAAATATTCGTATAAATACGCTTGATTGTGTGCTTGACCTGACTTGTTATCTGCTGTTTGTCTGTAGAATACACTTTCTACACCTTACCCAGACTTCTTGATCGGGTTAGCAGAGCCGGGGACAGCGAACCAGAATAGCTATCGAGTCGCTGAATCATTGACTTTTCGTTCCGTTCGAGTAAGACGCATCAGTAATAGCATTCAAGCAATAAACGAACCATAACAGTAGTCTACGCCTACCAACATGACTCAGTCCATTTGTCAATGACTTCATGGATTTGTGTCATATTTTGGTCTGGCCACCCCTACCTTTCTTCCAACCTATTCCTACACCATAAAACATCCCACGTCGAGGCAGTCGGTGGTTAGGCATACGTAACGCGTGTCAAAGCCATCTTATCTGATGAAGTTTCACTACTTCATCAATTGATTTGCCATCCTTACCTAGTGCCCGTTTCCTAACGACTGCGTTACTTACTCGATGGTCCCAGGATATACGAGCAATGTTTCGAAGACACCTATGATCAAATACTAGTAACCTACGGATATCCTCTACTCTTACCGGCCATGTTTCACTGCCATAAAGTAGGACGGAACGAACTGCTGCGCAGTAAACCCGTCCTTTGGTTGATAGACAGATATCTCACATACACCTTAAATGACGCAAGTTGGTAAAAGCTAGTCGAGCCTTCTGTATCCGTGCTGAAATTTCGTCACACGCCAGACCACAAGGGCTGATGAGACTTCCAAGATAAGTGAAGCGATCGACACGCTCAATTACTTAACTCCCCATCACTAGTTCGGGTGTCGATGTAACCCAATGCTGAAGCAACATTTTGCATTTCGAGGGGGAGAATCGCATCCCGAACATGCCTGCATTTTTGCTTAGAGTGGTCATAAGACTGCATTTTGTCAGCGTCTTCACCAAATAGAACTATGTCATCGGCCTATTCCAAGTCAACAAGTGAATCTCCTGGTAGAAGTTTAACCCCTGTAAATTTAGATGAGGAAAGTGTTATCTCTAAAAGCACGTCAGCGACAAAGTTAAAGACGAATAGAGAGAGTTGACACCCCTGACGAACACCACTTGAGGTAATCAATTCTGATGACAGTTCACCATAAGCTCGCACTCGACCAGTTGTGTTCGAGTAGAGAGCCTTTATAAGGTTAATGTACTTCTTTGGTACTCCATTCAGTAACAAACACTGCCATGGAACCTCACGATGTGACCAAATTGTTCTCGTGTGCTGTTACGGGTATGAGGTCTGATATCACTTATCAGTTGCCCACACCGTGGGTTAGGGTTCAGTCAATAAGGTAAATAGAATTTTAGTGCTTTAGCTGATGTGATATGCTTCAATGCTATTACGAGTTCACCTTACTCGGTGAACGGAACGAAGGTCAAAGATACAGTGACACGATAGGCTATTCTAATCCGTTGTCCCCGGCTGTGCCAACTAGATCAAGAAGTCTTGATGAGGCATAGAGAATGTTTTATACAAGTACCTCGAAAATACGAGGTCCCTAAATACACAAATCAAGCTTATTTATACAATGATACGAACGCCCATGTGAGAGCCACAAAAGAGTGTACTAAAAAAATCTGTCAACCAATGACAGTCAAGGATTTCCGAGTGAGAAATGTAAACTGTTGGTCAACTAAGCGTCTCTCGGCACGAAAACATGAAATTCAAATTTTCAGAATAAAACTACAAAATTCGAACATTTTCCAAATGAGTTCTGGGGATCTAACGTCTTCAACATAATTTCAGTTCATGATGAAAACCCTAAATCTAATTCCTTACCTTAACCATCAATTGTAAATCCTAAGTTGAATTTCTCACACTGGTTTATAAACCTTATTTAATCCTAGTAAGTAGATGGATATTCACGAAATCAGTTTAGTGTCATTCAAAGATCGTCCATAAAATATAGTGTCACAAACATAGATGTTAAAATTTATTTTTGCATTGATATTTAGGACTGTAATTTATCATTCTGATATTGTACAAGTCAATGGCCATCTGTATCCAGTAGCTAAATGGATATTACGATGGTGTTTGAAGCGAACGGTACGGGGTTCGAGTCCCAGAGTAAACATCATTTCAGGATGGTATGTACATCTGTCCAACTAGTCCCATAGAGAAAGAAATACGCCTCCTAGATTCCACTGTTAACCATTATCTATCTCTGTTTATAGGTCTTAAAAGATTTTGAATGATTACTGTAAATAGGACAGTTAGTTAATGATGAAATTAGTTAAGAGATATGAATAAGATAAATAAAGTTATCATCTGAATTATTCAATGAATTGTGTCTATAAAGATATTAGAAGATTCTTGAACTGATGTCTAGTGGAGTCAAGGGTATGAAAAGCTGGAATGAAATATTTTTACAGTTTCCAATAGTTTGTAATGGTCCCTCAATTGAGGAAAAAAGAATTGAGTGATGAAAATGAAACAAAATAAAAATGTCATAGCTAATCACTATCGCTAGAAATTATGTTTTTCTTAAACAATCATTGAAATAGGAAGATCTAAGATCTTAGAACAGTTCACTATAAAGAGATACTATACCATTCTTTCTTCTCATCTTTAAATTATTAATGCTCTATCATAACAAAAGCGGACAACCTCTTCATCTTCACCTTCATGAACATCAATTAACAGTCAAACACCATAACATCTACCCAGTCATGTCAATACACGTGGACAACTACGAACACACATTCGACTAAAAAATATGGAAATCTTCGATAGAGGAAATTCCAAAAACAAAAGAGAATTTATAGAAGCTTAGCACCCACATCAATCACCAATCAACAAGCACATCGAAATCTATCCAATTCATCAATTTATCAATCAGGAAAATTATACATAAACATAGAAACAAAAATCAAACCAATAGGAGACACAACCAAAACAAAGAAGTAAACAATGACAGAATTCAAGGTCAACAAGAACCAATCAACATCGAGGTGTACAGGATAAGCTGTGAACCACATATGGAGAAATTTGAAGTTTGTGTTAATGATGTCATTCAGAAGAAGGATGAGAGCTTCACGACCAAACCATCGAACTCAGAGAACAGAACTTCATCAAAATCATCCACCTGAGTTACAAGTCTTCTCCAGCATCTCAATAACAATAGCTTACTTCTAGAGTTTACCTTAGATATGTTGTCTCCTTAAGTTCACTTCAGTTGGATAAAATTATTGACTTGCAATAATCAATTAACGCAAATACTACAATGTTTAGATATAGCACTGATGTTTCAGACTTATCTTTTCTTCTTATAAAAAGTTTTAATCTACATAATACTGCCCTGGTGACTTATTCTTACCATTGAACACCTCTTCCATTGTTCGTTTTACTCAAGTTTCATGTTTATTTCTTCTTATATGATTACATAATGATCTCTCTTTCTCTCACTCACACACACAGACATACTTATACAATCCTAAAATTAGACTACAAGTATATCATTACAAGATCACTATATATGTGTTTCTAAAAAACATTTTACATTCATAAAACAGGAAGTTCATCGTTTCCCGGACTTTGAAGCTGACTGATGTAGATTTGAATACAGTAGAGTGTCAATTACCTGAATATTCCAAGTATATCTTGCTGATAAGTCTCATCTTACATTAGAAATGTTTTATTCAAACCATTTAATTGATCAAAAATGTTATTTACAAAACACTAGATTTATATCAATATATATAACATCTTTCTTGAGTTGGCTTCTCAGAACTACAACGGAGCCTCCAGAGGCCCTAAAAGATCCGAAGAGTTTCCATCCAATCACAACATGACGTGGCATACTACTACTGTAAATTGTTATAACTTATGGGTTTGTACCCCTATCAATGTATAACGTAATGAGTCCCCCAATTAGAGAACAGTGATTTATCAATTGGACCAGTCACGCATAAAAGAAGTACGAGCAGTCTAAAGTCTTTGTCGGTCCTGCTTCTCTCCTAGCCTTGCCTGTTAAGTCCAGAACACCAATCTCAGCCTCTGCAATATGATTCATTATATTTCAAACATACAGGGTTTATATACCAATCAGACAGACCACACCGTACCATAAAATAGCAAACAACATTTGTACAAGAATTAGTCAAATGTGGCTGTGAATGTGGGAGGTAGTAATTGATAGACAGGGCATAACTCAAAAATGGTAGATGGTACAATAATAATAGTTCATAGGTCAAAATAAAGCCCATAATAAGAAGGACATGAATATGGATAGTTTAGTTATTTGACAATTATACGATAAAAATATGCGTATAGTAATGGTCCATAAATGGATCCTAAAAGTTACCATTCATTATTCTCATTGAGATACAACAATCTTCAAAGCCTTCTCTTTGCGATTACTGCTTATACTTTTACTACCTCTACCATTATGGGATTTCAACCGTCATCTGTTTACTAATGTGGTATGACAACTGGAACTGATGTACATAAGTACGTACGTACGTACGACGTTCTACGTTGTTGCTGACCGACTGATATATACATATTGTATGACATAGATTAGAATTTGAGAAATAAGTGTATATATTTCCATTTTATAAAATGACAGTTAATCAATACCAAATTAGGTAGGTAGAAAAAGTTACCTAAAATAAAATAATTTCTAACGTAATTTATTTTTATTCTCCAGTAATAATAATAAGCAAATGATATAGTTTGACTAATATAACATCTAAAATACTAGCCTCAATAATTATCGATCGTCTTACTAGGACTCGTGAACTACAAACACGAGAAAATCAGGCTGGCTTCAGATCTGGTCGTGGTTGCATCAACCACATATTCACCATTCGTCAGGTTCTAGAACACAGACATACTTATCAGCGTCCGACAATGGTGGTCTTTCTTGACTTAAGAGCAGCATTTGACTCGGTAGACCGCGAGATTCTGTGGAAGTGTCTGTCATTGAAAGGCGTACTTCAGAAGTACATAAACCTTGTGAAGGCTCTTTACTCGAACACTAGTCGATTCAGAGCTTTTGGTGAACTGTCATCTGATTTTGCAACCTCAAGTGGTGTCCGTCAAGGCTGTCTGCTTTCTCAATTTTTGTTTAACTTCATCATAGACCTATTGATGGAAATAACGTTCTCGTCGACTGAATTTTCGCGTACTGATCTCTTACCAGGTCCACTTATCGACTTGGAATACGCAGATAATATTGTCCTATTCGGTGAAGACGATGATATAATGCAGAGTCTTTTGGTAGCACTGAGTAACAATGCCAGAATGTTTGAAACGCGCTTCTCTCACTCTAAATGCAAGTTGTTACTCCAGGACTGGTCTGCATCAACACCTGAACTAAGGATAGGGAGTGAAGTAGTCGAACGCATCGACAAGTTCACTTATCTTGGAAGTCTGATCAGCCCTAATGGGTTGGTGTCTGACTAGATCTCTGCACGGATTCAAAAAGCTCATTTGGCTTTTACCAACTTACGTCACCTATGGCGAAGACGAGATATCCGTCTATCAATTAAGGGACAGTTTGTTCTGTTCTACTTTACGGTTACGAAACATGGTCAATAAGGGTGGAAGATACTCGTAAGTTACTAGTATTTGACCACAGATGTCCTAGAAATATTGCTCACATCTGCTGGGATCACTGAGTAAGTAATAGTGAGGTTAGATGCAAGGTATTTGGGAATGATGGCAAATCAGTTGATGATGTAAATCTTCATCGACTGAGAGGGTTGAGCCACGTGGTGCGTATGCCTAAACACCGATTACCACGACACGCGATGCTGATTAATGTTGGAGATGAATGGAAGAAAGTTAGGGGCCAGACAAAATCGTGGCACCAGCCCCTGAAGTCAGTGACTTCTGGTGTGAACATTGTTGGTAGATGAAGACTACTTGGTTGGAGTCCCCATGCCTATCGTAACCAATGGTCGGAGACCCTGGGTGAAATGGCTCAGAATCAATCACAGTGATGTAGGTGTATACACTCTATGTCTTCCCTTAAACTATGAGATCAAAATCGCTTCATATCTTTCTTTCTACCGACTAATTCTTTCTTCCTGTACTATGTCCTTATACACAATCCTTCTTTTATATTACCATCACTGGATTAACTACTTCTATGAATCCGGTGTTCATCTTGTTATGCTTATGAGGTGTGGCAACTTGGACCGATGCATGTAAGTGCCCGTTCCTACGTTGTAGCTGACTGATTGAAATTTACACAAGATGAGGTAACATTCTATTACAAGCAATATCATGATATTTGAGTGTTTTGGTTATTTGAATCTTCTCATTTTATATTTAGAATTATAGATACATCCTGTGTGAATTGTCTTGATATTGTTGTTAAGTCAGTCATAAGTATTAGTAGTTAGCTGTGGAATCTAGGAAACGCGTTTCGTTCGATTTTTTAGACATTCAGTATCATGATATTTGCAGCAAATTAACGTTGAGACTTATTCGCAGTGGATCAACAGTGATCTGGTAGTTGAATGAAGCAAAAAAGCACTTTCAACTAAACATCAATAAAAACAACATACAAAAATATCAGTGTAGATTTGTGGAGATTATAAAGTTTTTGATTAAGATCGTGAATCGATTGATGTTAGACCACCATTGGAATCCTCAGTCAAATACTTAATAATCTCTACAACCCTATACTGATAATAGCCATATGCTCACTAGTGACTAGAATCATGAGGGAATTTTCGGAGTTCTAGTGAGAAGCCGTGATCGGTGGATCTAATCCGTTTCGGGTAGAGACAGGTATCTACCTCAGTTCATTGGGAGACGGTCGAACGACTTCTTGGACTGGTTGGAGTTAGACATTAATATCGTTGGATGCTGGCTCAATGGTCTAGAGGTTGTGTTCGCGCACAACACTGAAGGTCCTTAGCTCGAATCCTGTGAGCGGGATCGTAGATGTGCACTGCTGAGGACGAAACGGCCGTCCAGTGCTCCCAGGTTTTCAGTGGTGGTCTAACATCAATCGATTCATGATCTCAATCAAATACTAGGTGGTTAAAAAAGTGTATACAATATCTAAAACTTATGAAGTGATCAATTATCATTTTGTGAAGGAATTTAGAAAAGTTGACTATATTTTTCTTACTGTAAGATAGTTCATGATTGATAAAGGATATAATGATCACATTTCTGAGTTCCCAGACTATGTTTGAGTCATAATAAGGTTATTAATGCTGACGTGTAAAATATATACAAGTGATGATAAGTTTCGAATTAGAACAAATGTACTTCCTGCACTCTACGGTTATCTGAAATCCATTCATAATAAAGAGCGGTTAATCCAACTTGTTTTGTGAATATTTCTGAACAGCTTCAATTAATGGTATATAAACTATCATCAAAGATCATTGTAAGAAAGTGAGGAGCGGCCAAATCAAAACGTGGCATCAGTGCTTGTAGTCACTAACTTCTAGTCTGAGCCATGTTGGGAGATGCAGACTACTTGGTTGAGGTCCACGTGACTATCGTAACCAATGGTTAGAGACTCTTGGTGACATGGCTTAGAATCGATCACAATGGTGTAGATGTACACTGTCTGTATTCCCTTAAATTATGCGAATAAAATCGCTTCATATCTATCTTTCTACGAACTAATTCTTTCTTCCTGTACTATTTCCTTATTGCAATCTTTCTTTTATATATTACCACTTCTGAATTAACTAGTTTTATGAATCCGGTGTTCATCTTGTTGTGTTAATGAGGTATGGCAACTTGGACCGATGCATATATGTGCCTGGTCCTACGTTGTAGCTGACTGATTGACTGACTGACTATCATCAAAGATCATATCAAATATTTCACATACATTTCGTATCATAAAGGTATTAACTTCAACACAGATTGAAGCAAAAATTGATTAATAATGAAAACTATGGATCATACCATTACAATGTTATAATGTAGATGTGGTATCTTACTCCTAGAAACGATCACATATATACACTACTGACAGAGTACTTTATCAAACTAAAATGATTAATATCAGATGGGTTTTTTGGGGATTGTAGTAATTTCAATGGTTAAGATCATGAGTCAATTGAAGCTAGACCACCATGGAAAACCTGGAAGCACTGAACAGCCGTTTCGTCCTAGTATGGGACTCCTCATCAGTGCTCATCCACGATCCCGCATCTCGCGAGATCATTGTATGCAATCATCGAAAAGTATCTATATAGAAGAAATATTTAGTTGTTTTTTTTCATTTATTTTATCATAGAAGGTGATGATCCAAATTTAGTCGAACTATTTCAAGTTATTGAAGAATCTAACAAATCAACCGGTAAGTTTACTGTAAATTCTTTTGAATCGATAATCAACTTGACTTAAACCTTTTCTATTTTCTTTAAAAGTATCGTTTTCCAGATCAATTTATAAGTTTCGTGTTATTTTCTCATTTGAAACCTGATCATATTGTTAACAGATGAAAGATAACACTGTTTAATTGAAATCCCTAAAGGATCAACACATTCTTTTAAGCTGATTATGTGAAGTATACTCTAGGGCTATTATGGTTCTTGCAATATGGATAGAATTGGAAAGCAAGATTCAAGACAGAGTGGGTTGGAGAATGCTCGTTGGTGGTGTTCTATGCTCTATTGAGAGTAACAGGCATAAGTAAAGAAGAACATGCCTTATAGGGAGCATTTATCGAATGACTAAAGAATTCTATTCCACCGGTCATACCGGATAATAGTAAAACAACTATAGTTTATACTTATTATTACAATTAACCTCCTCATTGACGAATAGGTTCCTACACCTTCCATTCTTTGTACTTCTCAAACATGTCATCCAATCATATTGATCATTTTAACAAAACGATGTTATCGGTTATTATTACTATCTTAAGATGAATATTAAAGTCAATAATTTGTACAGTGGATAAACTTCACTCTTTTTCTCAGTTTTGACCTTACACCTGGCAACTAACTAAAATTAAACTGGAATAATTATTTACATGATCTTAGTCCATGACGGAGGGGTGATGATGGTTCGTTCTTCGTCGTTTTTACTGGTTTACATCAAAAATGTAAAGTATTCTTTGATGAAAATACCATTCCATCATACTACGAACATGTAAATTGTAGCGCAGTCAATAATGATGAAAGACATCATACTTTCAATTAATTTTATTATAGAAACTATTCTAAAATATTTACAATTGAGTGACTATTACTGACTACGATATACTTAGTTGACTTGACAATGTCGAGTTTATTCCTAACTGAATTTCATGTTTATTTTAAGTCAATTAGGATAATGATAAGTTTAGTTATGAAATAAGAGTTGAAAGTGTAGATGGTTAATTTTCGTAAGATTAATTATCATTCAGAAATTGATAATTGGTCTTTTCTGATTCTTTTTTAGTGATTACTTCATCAAAGTTATCATTCCTTAGTTTTCATGATGTGATTATTGAGCCTAAAAATAAAACGTTGAGAATAACCAACAAGTCAACCTCATAAGCCCTTAAATGCCCTGGTACGCCAGAGAATGGGGAGAGTTCCCTCTCTCTCTCTCTCTCGAAATGCTCTCACATGGCCACATGTATATAGTCTCTGACAGGGAAGTCCTACTCACTGCATTCTCGTGGCACAGGTGTTGTTTTCGAAATTAAGAGGACGAAAAGTGAATATCTGGCGCTTTAACCGGGTTGGTGGACATGGAGAGTCCACCTAAGGGAGTTGGAAAACCGTGATTCCAAACCAATGGTGCACATGGGACCAGTATCCTGAGTGAACAAATAGTGTATGAACCAATTGTTGGTCACCGGCACCATGTGACTGTATCTCCTGATGTTGTTCCACTACCTCGTGGACCAGACCTTTAACTCGAAAGCTTGGGGTGTGACCTCCTAAGAAAACCTCCTGCTTCGGTCTGGCTACTCGGGCACTATGATAGCCCACGCACACAAATCAAGTGACTTGTGTAGCGCATAAGTATTCACTGCCCCTTTGTACCAATATTTATATGTTCAAATAATTATAATAATACAACCTTATGAGATATGAACGCTGAGTGATGATCATAGACTTTCTGACATGGTGGGGAAGATTTGTAACTCAGGTGGATGATTTTGATGAAGTTCTGTTCTCTGAGTTCGATGGTTTGGTCGTGAAGCTCTCATCCTTCTTCTGAATGACATCATTAGTACAAACTTCACATAGAACTGAAATGTTCAAATTTCTCCATATGTGGTTCACAGCTTGTCCTGTACACCTCGATGTTGATTGGTTCTTGTTGACCTTAAATTCTATCATTGTTCACTTCTTTGTTTTGGTTGTGTCTCCTATTGGTTTGATTTTTGTTTCTATGTTTGTGCATAATTTTCCTGATTGATAAATTGATGAATTGGATGGATTTCCATGTGCTTGTTGATTGATGATTGATGTGGGTGTCAAGCTTCTAAAAATTCTCTGTTGTTTTTGGAATTTCCTCTATCCTAGATTTCCATATTTTCTAGTTGAATGTGTGTTCGTAGTTGTCCACGTGTATTGACATGACTGAGTAGATGTCATGGTGTTTGACTGTTAATTGATGTTCATGAAGGTGAAGATGAAAAGGTCATCCGCTTTGTCCGATGTAGTATGTTTCGCAGCTGACACAATTTATTTTGTAGATGATGTTTGGTTTATCTTCTTTTATCATTTGATCCTTTGGTTTGCATAGGATTGATCGTAGTGATCTTGTCGGTTTGTGTGCAACACCTATTCCGAAGGTTTTCAGTGGTTTTGTTGTGGTTTCTGATGTGCCTTTTATGTATGGTAGGATGATCCTTTTGTTGATTTCTCTACTTCACTTGGATTCTGATGATGCATGCGGCTGGTATTTTTTGATGAAGTTGATTGGGTAGCCGTTCTTTTGAAAGACGTCCTTCAGGTATTTCTCTTCATTTTTTTTCGTGATACCAGTGTGCTACAGTGTGTCATTGCCCGAGCGAGGATTAACACTGATTGTACTATGGATAAAACAAAGGACACATTTGAAATCTGATCTATAATCTTTTCAGTTACTGCTTATACTTTTACTACATCTATCATTATAGGATTTAAATCGACAAGTGTGTCTCCATGTTAATATGGTATGACAACTTGAAGTGATTTACATACGTACGTACGAAGTTCTACATTGTTGCTGACTGATCAACTTATACAATGAAGCACAGAAACAGTTTATCAATAATTCTGCTTCACAGATATCTGTTATGTTACATTTTTATTTGTATTGGTCAATCGTTTGATAACTATTATAAGTGACCTACATTTACTGATCAACTAGAATGAATTAAGGTGATTCCTTGGAATAGATGTGGGTCAAATCTTTCTAAATGATTAATCACTCATGTCTTTTTTATACTGACATGATTAATAAAATTAATTTTAATGCCAGTTATTTACTAGTAACATGTTAGTCAATAGAAGAGTATTTACTATCTAAGATGCAACTGTCTATGTTTGATGATTTTTATAAATTACAAACAATAATATACCTATAAGCAAAGATGAATATAGTGGTTGGCATTGGAATCCAGGATGTGTGTTTCGTTCACTTTACGACTCATCAACTGAATGTACTTTGCATCTCAGAGTTAATGTTCACTTTGAGACTTGAACCCAGTACCGTTTACTTCAAATACCATCGCGTTATCCATTTATTTTCACCCCATTTTACAAGTTAGTGGTTATTAGGACTCAATAGCTAAGTGGATAATCTAATAACATTTGAAATGAATGGGACTGAATTCAAGTTTCAGAGTGAACACCAACTCTAAGACGTAGGTACATCCAGGTGACGAGTCCCAAATAGAACGAAAAGCTTGTCCTAGATTCTACTACTATCCATTATATCCATCTCATTGAACATATTATCTCTGTCATATATATATATTTCAACTTTAATTTTAGATGTTCCAGCACCAAGAATGATAACATTAGAACGTCAATTATTTCAAAGTGTATTAATTAGTTGGAAATCACCAGAATTAAATTCAATGAATGAAAATAAAATTGTATCTGCATATCATATTTATGTTGATGGACAATTTCGTTTAGCTGTTATGGCTAAAGAAAAAACTCGTGCACTGATTGATAATGTGGATGCTGATAAAGTACATAATTATTAATAATAATAATTTAATATTGAAAGGGGGGGTATGGGTATTATAGTGATTTTAATAGTTGAGATCATGTGTCTAGTGAGAAGCAGTAACTAGTGGAGTTCAACTGAGTCTATTGTGAGATAGTAACTGACTGAAGATAATGGTGGATGTGTCGCTCAATTTTGTGGATTGGTTGATGTTAGATATTAATACCATTGGATGCTAGCCAACTCAGTGGTCTAGAGGTTAAGCATTCAAGCGCGATACTGAAGGCCCTGAGTTCGAATCTCACGAGCAGGATCGTGAATGTGCACTTCTGAGAAATCCCATACTAGGACGAAACAGCTGTCCAGTACTTCCAGGTTTTCCGTGGTGGATTAGCTTCAATTGACTCATGATCTCAACTATTAAAATTAATTTAATTTTTCTACATATTGAATGTAGATTTTGTTATACGTTGGTATCAGTTGAAGAACTATACAACACATGAATTATTTGATAGTTGTTCACTTTCTGATTAACAATATTGTGTATTTAAACAAATCCGAAAAGTTCTAATAATAATATTTGCTTTTTATTAATTATCTTGAAAGATTTCTAGGTATTGCTTTCATCTCATGTGTCAAAATGATGTTTTACCAGAAGATGGTGGTTTTAGGTAATCAACAGGAAACCTTGAACCCTGAACATCTCAGTCCTACAGGAGGTTTGTCGAAGCCCAGTGATTGCGAAGCTAGATGACATGGGATAGAATCAATCAGAGAGTATCAAGTCCCTCAAGATTACAGGTACACCTTGCTGACAAGTGCTAAATAGCATGAAACTCACGTCCAGGGTTTCCTGTAGAATACCTCCAACCACCATCTAATCTCATTATAGTACACACAATATCGAGTCATCTAGATCAGGGGCCATATGGTAACTTTGTCGATAGGATTCGATCTACACTAAGAAGGTCTTGACACATATAACATTGATCACAACTCAGTGATCAATCAATTGTGATGTTTTATAATGAAACTATTTCATATCATTAATTGGTTTGATCAAAGATCTTTCGAATCATCTTCATGAGATCGAACATAGATCATTTTTGTTACTTTACTAATATAACTTTTATTTTTAGAAGATGCTTATAAATTTTTACAAATAGTTGGTGGTTACTTATCAATCACTAAGGGGTTAATGTTATATATAGACCGTGAAGATCGTATTACATAATCTGGTGTTCTAATCTTTCTATTACGTCATCTTTGTTATTCATATTGACATTTCCTCATGGAATTACCACTTTAACATAAAAATCTATACTTGTTCACTCTACTCAACTGTCAAAACCTGAAACAAGGTAGAAGAACAATACTTGTATTGTTACGTTGATAGTGATAGCTGTAATTCAGTATTGTTATAAGTAAGCTTTATATCAATTGACAGCTATCAATGATATGTATTTATCATCATCATTTATTAATCAATAAATGTATCATCAGTGATTTGTATGGTTTGCGAATAGGCTACTGACAGTTTATCTGTTTACAAAGTAGTAGTAGTAGTAGTAACAATGTGAATTGTGGTATAGATATGTATTAGCTCAAACTTCATCAACAAAACAATCAAATAGTTGAAAGACCAATCGTGTTAAAACATTGATATCAGTAATAGAGTAAGGCGTTCTTACACAATGGTGAAATTTCTAGCTTTGGTTCCCTGGGGTAAGGTCATGGTTGCACACTTTGTAAAAGTTTGACACTAGGATGAAACAAGTGTTCATTGCTTTGGAGTTTCCAAAGACTATCTGACTTACATCAGTTCGTAATCTTAACATGATTCAACAATCTGTATACCCTCGTAGTGATAATTTAATTCTGTTGATCACTCCGAAAGCTATTGATTACGTTGTTTTGTTAAGCTGTCAGTCCACCAGACTAAAAAGTATCATATTAGAATGAAACAGCTTTCTAGTTCACTCTAAATTCCAGTAATATCCCAACTGGGATCGATCCATGATATCTACAACCTAAAAATCAATAGTTTCTTCGACATCACAGATAATTATTGCTAACTAATCCCAACAGACACGAAACCAAGATTAAGACTTTCAATAAATCACTTCCAATGGTTTAACAAAACTATATATCATTCGATCTTTACAGCTAAAGAGTTGAAAAACTAAACTTTGTGAGATTAGATGGTGGTTGGAGGTAGTCGACAAGGAACCTTGGACCCGGATTTCGTGCTACTTGGCACTCGTCATCATGGTGTACCTGTAATCTGGTGCTCCCCGACGGATTCGATCCCGTGTCACCCAGCTTCACAGTCAGAGACGTTACCACTGAGCCATACGGGGCGCGACCAACCTCCTGTAGGACTGAGATGTAATCACAACTGATTGATCACTGGGTGGTGATCAATGTCATGTGTGTCAAATCCTTATTAGTGCAGATCGAATCCTTCCTATTCCTATTCACTCTTTATGATGTTATGTTTAACATTCAAAAATATCTGTTTACTTATATTTCTTATTTATTTTAGCCTCATCGAATTTCAATTCGATCTATTTCTTCACATGGTCAATCTAAAGATGCACAATGTACATTAGTTGTAGGTCGTGGTATGACTGCTACACCAGCTCGATTAAAAGCTACACAAATTGGTACTAAATCAGCTAAATTAAGTTGGATTCCAGGAAATAGTAATTATTATCATCGAGTTTACTTAAATGAAACTTCATTACATGTATGCAAACCTGGTGTATATAAACTGCACTTAACTGGTAAATCATTGTTTAACAATTAAAATAAACTTCTTACTGATTAGTACTAGTCAATATGATATGATTGTAATCTTTAAGGAATTGATACACTATTCGAGTTTATAACCTACATCTCAATCATATGTGTTAATACTAGGCATTCAATCTGTGACTGACCTTTAGTAATAATAAGATGATTATGGTAATAAATGAGTTTAACTATAGGTATTGGTGGCCTACTTTTAAGTATTTTGAAAATGATTATTCCTCTCAAGATTGTGGTTGGATGCAACTAGATGATTTGGACTTTGCAGATGAACTAGCTCACCGATAAATACTGGTCAAGACAATTAGTGTAGCAACGACCTCTTCATCAGTAGGACTCAACATACACAAGGGGAAAAAGCAAGACCCTCAAATACAACACGGAAAACACCAACCCAATCACACTTGATCCAGAAACTCTCGAAGAGGTGGAATCTTTCATGTACCTGGTCAGCATCATCGATGAACAAGGAGAATCTGATGCAGATGTCAAGGCGAGGATCGGCAAAGCAAGGACAGCATTCAAACAACTGAACATATGAAATTCGAAACAACTCTCAACCAACATCAAATTTGCAATCTTGAATATGAACATCTAGACAGTTCTAATGTACGGGGCTGAAACATGGAGAACCACTACAACCATCATCATCAATGTGCAAGTATTTCTAAACAGTTGTTTACGCCAAAAACACAATATCTGTTGGCCGTATACCATCAGCAACATCTGATTATAAGAGAGAACAAACCAGCTTCGAGCTGAAGAGGAAATAAGGAAAAGACGTTGGAAGTGGATAGGAAATGCATTACGGAAATCCTCAAACTGTATCATGAGGCAACCGCTAACTTGGAATTCTGAAGGAATACGGAAAAGAGAAAAACCAAAGAATATATTGCACCAAGAATTGGAAGCAAACATGAAAAGGATGAATAGCAACTGTAAGGGATTGACCAGTACAGAGTGGGATGAAGAATGCTAGTGGGCGGCCTATGATCCTGAATGACATGTAACATGCGTAAGTTTGTAAGAATCAAGAGATTCACACAAACTCGATATTCCATATAGCTCTTTTTAAATAAGAATTCACAATTACAGATGTACAGTGTAAAGGATTGTAATTCCCAACATCATTCATGTTTACTTCTATAGAATTTCTTAACCTGATAATCCAAATACTATATTTAATCTAATCTTATTTATCTCAGGTCATCAATACAAGGTGATAGAAGTTTATGAATTTTACTTTTTCTTCAATAAACTTTTTAAATGACCAAAAATAAAAAAGACACTGAATGAAATGAATTGATCTTTCAACACGAAATCTTCATATTAACTGTTCTGTCCTACTATGGGACTCCTCAGAAGTGTATATCCATGATCCGGCACCAAAGGGACTCGAACCCAAGATCATCCGTCTTGTATGCGAACTTCAAACCTCTAAACTATTGAGTCAACATCCGATGGTGTTCACGTTTAACTTCAATCGATCCATGATCTTGAGCAACTCTTTATCTATTGTTTAAAGTAGATAACTGTGTCCATCCGACATGGATTGGACTACACTGGTGATGGCTTCTCACTAGAACTCCAGGAAATCCAACTTGGTCATTAGTAAGCATATGATGATTATTATCAGAATGGGAATTTGTGCAGATTGTAGAAATTTTAATAGTTCAAGTCCTGAATTGATCTAAGCTCGACTATCATTGGAAACCTTAAAGCTATGGACATCCGTTCTGTCCGCAACTTCTCAGCAATACATATCTACGATCTTGCACATAGGACTCAAACCTAGGACTATCAATCTTGTGTACAAATTCCCAACCTCTAGACTCCTGAATTAGCATCTAACGGTGTTATCATTTCATCGTTTCTTTTTTGAAGTTAATTCAACCGATTAATAATAACAGGAAGAAAAAGAAACATTCAACCAATTGTCATCGCTTCATTTAAATGAATGATACAAAAGAGTTGATCTGAATTAAGAAAGACATTTGTTTCTGATCGGTCAAATAAGATCAAAATTTTAATCAATATCTATGATTTACATAACTTCATTTGATCGACGCATGAATAAATGCGTTATAGGTCATTGTGATATATCAACAGTATTGTAATGAATCGAGGGAAATAAAACATAATATCTGAGATATTGAAGAAGATTTGTAGCTCAGGTAGATGATTTTGATGAAGTTTTATTCTCTGAGCTGGATGGTTTAATCGTGGAGCTTTCATCATTCTTCTGAACTATATCATCAGCATAAACTTCAGGTAGAAGTGAAAGCTTCACAACCAAACTATCCAGCTCAGAGAACAAAACTCCATCAAAATCATTTACATGAGCTTCAAGTCTTCTCTACCATCTCAAATAGAATGATCAAATAACAAATACTATTCTTGTCACTGTTCGACATAAACTAATTGTATATAATGTGGTTTACTTCCTTGAAAACCATTTCTGACTGACATCAGCTTCAATGACAAGACGCTATTTGGCTAAATGGACGAGTGAATTTCGCGCCAAAATTCAAGACCTGTTATTGTGAATCTGATGACTTCATCCATAAATTATAGTCTCGCCAGACATTCTTCAACATTTTTGATTGTAATACTGGTATTTATCAATGCCATTAATAATTGTCGATCATTAATTCTATTTTTTATTTATTTGTCTTCAATTAGATCTACCACCAGATACTTTGCATCAAGTATGTGTTCAAGCTTTGCCATCACCAATTAGTGTACAAGAATCAGCTCAGCAATCTCCACCTTGGATTAATACTGCCTGGAGTGGTGTACATACACAGAAACTAGCTGCTTTTATCGAATTTCGTACATTACCCATAGGTACGTCCATAAAAATCTTGTTATATTCGTTTAAATTCTATTCAGTATATTAGCTATTGTATCGAATGTCTGTCCGAGTAAATCACAAGTTGGCAGAAGTCGAATATGTAAATCACATGATTTCGATTTGTTAATCCAAATATAACGAATTCATTATTAGACTTTAAGAACTTTTGTTCGATTACTGGTGGTCAAAATATAAGGCCATTGTTTACTATGGGGTGTTAAACTGGGGACGTAACAGTTCTCAAATTCTACCTGGTTTTTAATAGGTTTTCTGGATAAGATCAGTCGGTGAAGTAATCTTTCTAGAGAAATATTTTATCCAGTCACTTTTAGGGAAATCTTATTTGTCATCAAACAATAGTACCTACTTACATAAGCCTGGCATCTTTCCTGAGGCATAGGCCGCTAACAAGGAATCTTCAGTTATATCCTTAACGCCCATTTCTAGTTGTTACCAAATGCTATTCATCCTCTTCATATCTTTATCCGATTCCTGGGGTCATCTGTTATGTGATCTGCTTGTTTTTATTTTGCCTTGGTGATCTCAAATTAAGGATTGTTATGTGATGCAGTCTAATGTTTTCCTCTTAGTATGTCGTATCCATTTTCAGCATCTTTTACTACTTTCCTCCTAAAATGGTTATTGGTTTGTTGTCTTCGATAGTGATTAACTACTGACAGTCTCTGGTCAAAATCTCACATAAGCAGCCGTTTACAAATTCTTATGCTTTCTTGATGATGGTTATAGTAGCTCCCAAAGTTTCAGATCCGTGCAGTAAAATTATTTAGACATTTGTGTTGAAGATTCTGACTTCGGTTTTGAAATACATTTGCTTCGAGTCCCAGATATTTTTCATTTGCGGGAATGTTGTTCATGCTCTGGTAATTCGTGCCCTGGTATCTCTAAAGGACCCTCCTTGTTTATTCATGATGCTGCTCAGGTATGCAAGAGTTTTTACCACTTTCAGAGCTTAGTCATCAAGTGTGCCTTAATGGGTACTCATTATGTTGTAATTCAGGATCTTGCACTTCCCCTCGTGGATGATGGGGGTTACTGCTTCATAAATCGTTGTTATAATGACTGTCTTTGTCTGGATTTATTGCTGTGTATGCAATAAAAATTTAAGGCAACTTCAAAGTCCAAATCATCCAACTTTATCTTCATTATTCACCGTATTCTGTGGCTCTACTGCGTAGTAAAGGGTCTTCATTATGCAGCCAACAGCTGTCAGGAAGGATGTAGGCTACACAAGGCACCCTCGTCTTTATTTGAAATTCGTCTATGCTCCAACCCCAACACACAACTTTGCAGTTTAATACGTCGTTGGAGTTCCGTAGATTGTGACGATCTTTTCAGATACATCACAATGTTGAGGAATATTCCGTAAAGTTCTTTCATCTAGGCTGTAGAATGCTCTCTCATAGTCAAGAAATTTTATGTATACAGGGATGAGTTCTATGTAACTAATTGTTTAACAATGAAACATAGTGTTTCAGTTTGTCAATATGTAATTGGTCCTTACGAAAGTAAGCCTGTTAATCTCGAGTTCAGCATCTAATGAATCTTTCTTTTAGTTCAGAAACACTGTTAAAAACTTTGCGTATCAGTAACAGCAATGTTATCTGTCTGTAATTTACACCCTTACTCATCATTAAGCATTCTCTTTTTCAAGGTCTTCTTATCAAATCTTTCTGCAGCAAACATGAAACATGATGGTGATTACCTCTATGTCTAACTTTAGTACGTCGGCTGGTATGTTGTCCAATCCTAACACTTAGTCACTTTTGGTTTGTCTGACGGTGTCGACAAATTTTACGATTGTTGGTGCAGCACTATCTACAAGGACGTTTGTGTGTTGCCCTGTTTTTATGGTACGGTGTGGTCTGTCTGGTTGGCATATAAAACCCAACATGTTTGAAATAAATGATTCATATTACAGAGGATGAGATTGGTGTTCTGGACCTAACTGGTTGAGCTAAGCAGGAAGTAGGACCAATAAGGACTGCAGACTGCTCGTACTTGTTTTATGCATGATTGGTTCAATTGATAAATCACTGCTCTCTAATTGGCGGTATTATTACATTATACATTAGCAGGGTATTCGAGCCACAAGTTATAACAGGCTTGTGCTTCGATTTCATCCGCTTTTGATTTCTGTTTTTCTGTTTACCCTTTCTTGAAGATCGCCCAGGTTGTTTATAGGAACCCGTTTTCTATACTAGTGCTTATTGAGGCCCAGTACCTCCTGGCATATTGTTACTTCCATAATACCTTTCTAGTTGTTCCCTATAGTGGTTTCATTTTTTTGCTAGTAGAACATTTCAGTTTTTGAATTTGTTGCTGATATCTAGCTTGAATTCGTTAAGTTTGTTAGCATCTAGAAAGAAGACTCTATTAAACTTTTCAGTGATACTTATTGAGCTGTATAATGATTTTTCTTTCAGCTTGGCTACCACCAGATAGTTATCTGAAGCTATGTCAGCTCCTCCCTTGTTCTTATGTCTTCAACTGACGCATTAAATATTTTATTGATCTATATGTAATCGATCTGGTTCACAACACCGTAAACTGTTGAGACCCATGTAGCTTCATTTATGCATTTCGGGGTTAAAATCCCATACCCTATAAACAATTCGTTGACTTCCTATACACTTTCCAGTCACTCATCACCCTCGTTTCATTCTTTTAGTCCATTTCGCCTGACGATATCTGTTACTTCCATACTTATGTGGCATAGAATTTTTATGGCCTCTAATTCAATGTTTGACAAGCACCATTGTTCACAGATAAATACAAAAAGCAATGTTTGAATTTGGTAAAATTCTAATTATAAAGAATATAACTATGAATCATACAAGACATCTAAATGAATAACACCAAGCTAATTGTAGAAAGAGTTATGCATTGAAAAAAGGTAAAACGTTAGATGTCTGAAAGTTACATCCAGCTGACGAGTCCCTAATAGTCTACTACTAGCCATTAATCATCTTTGCTTATATAGTGTTATTGTTATATTAACTGTATACATGGGAGATTTTCATAAATAAGCACACATATACGTATGAACGCATAAACGAAAGGACTTTACAATATCTTCATACCTAATGTTGTTCATCTCATCAAGATAGTCAAGTTTTGTTCTGCTCGTTTTCATGGGATGGACTGAAGTCCGTCGTAAAGCTGATTTTTACCATCTTCTCTGATATGGCTGACAGATACATAGTACTAGATATCATTCATTGTAATTAGAAAATATATGTCCAAAACGCTTAATTAATGCTCCTTAGAATCTGTGGCTATGTTGATTACACTTCATTTGATTAGCTGCTAACAGCTAAATGAAAAAGCCATAGCATTTGTGATATATAGTTGGATTTTTTTCTAAAGCAGATGGCTAACAGGACTCAGTGGCCAAGTGGATAACACGATGGCGTTTGAAGCGAACGGTACTGGGTTTGAGTCCAAAAGTGAATATCAACTCTGAGATACAGGTACATCCAGCTGACGAGTCCCAGAATAGGACGAGACGCCTGTCATGAATTCCACTGCTATCCATTATCCATTTTTGCTTAAAAATGTTAAAATAATACTTTAAATCAAAAGATTACTGAATAACAACCAATATCACGTTATCTTATCATAACGTTTATTGAATTCCGTTTATATAATTTACAAGTAGCTAGGTCTTGGGTTCGAATCTCGCGAGGTGGGGTCGTGGATGCGCGCTGCTGAGGAGTCCCGCAATAGGACGAAAAGGCGGTCCAGTGCTCCCAGGTTTTCCATGGTGGTCTAGCTTCAACTGACTCATGATTTTAACCGTTGAAATTAAAATAGCAAACTGTCAATTTTTCTCAGTGGATAATTATAATCTACTTGAAGTGTTATTGAACTAATGAACAGATCTATGTTCGACTGCCATTGAAAACCTGGAAGCGCTGGATGGCTGCTTTGTCACAGTATGGGACTTTTCAGAAGTGAGCATCCACGATTCCTTATACAGGATTCGAACCCGTGACCGTTAGTTACTCACATGATCTCTTAAACTCTAGATCATGATCTTGAGGACGAGTTCTACGCTAGAACCAAACAGCCGTTCAGTGCTTCCAAGTTTTCAATTATGATCTAACTTAAATCGGTTTATAATTTCAATATGATTCGAAAATTTTCACAACCGCGTTCTGAAAATACTTGAAATATATTTTACTACCTTAAGACAAGTTTATCATTTGTTTATATCTTCAATGATTAAACTAAACAGATTGGTTGGAAAATGTTTCTTTTTTTAAAAAATAATATACTTAGGCTTACCAGATCCTCCAAGTCATGTACAAATTGAGGCTGGACCTCAAGATGGCATGCTACTTATCACATGGCTTCCAGTTCCACAAGATAAAAATGCAGTAGAAGCTGTTACAGCTGCCGGTGCTAGTAGTAGTTTACCAGTACAAGGATATACTGTTTGTTTGAATGGTCAAGCAATTATGGAAATGAAGGGAGCTTCAAGTAAGTTTTTCTTTAAATAAGAAATAATATTATATGATTCACTGTCAATAAAAGTTATTTATTTCCCTTTACAAAGACAAAAGGAGATTCAGTCAATCTTTCGTTGAATAAAATAACATTGTGTAGAAACAAAACGACTAAATTGAATCGTTATATAACTAGATACTTGTATTTATCTAGTTTCTGGGAAAAAAATCATTTACTAAGTAGTTACCTTCAGTGATATTTTCATCACAAGCTGTCTGATATTAATATCAGAGTAGGTTTTGTGGATATTATAATAATTTCAATAATTTAGATCATGAGTCAATTGAAGCTAGGCCACTGCGGAAAACCTGGAAACATTAGACGGCCATTCCGTCCTAGTATGGGACTCGTCAGTAGGTCATCCATGATCCCGCTAGCGAAATTCGAACCCAGGACCTATCGGGTTCGTACGCGAACTCATAACCTCTAGACCAGTAGAGTTCAACCGTTTCTGTCGTGAGACAGTCACTCACTAAAGATAATGGTGGAGGGTGACGCAGTTTCGTGGATTTTTCGAAGTTAGTCATTAAACCGTTAGATGCCTGCTCAGCAATCTAGAGATTAAGCGTTCATGCGCGGAATCGAAGGTTCAGGGTTCAAATCCCACGGATGAGATCTTGGGTGGGCGCTGCTGAAGAGTTCAGTACTAAGAGGGAACAGCCGTCCAACGCTTCCAGGTTTTTAATGATGGTCTAGCTTAAATCGACTCATGAATTGAACTATTAAATTACATTTCAATTTGTCAGCGATCTGTCATTTGGTATTTATATAAATTATTTGATATACTAATCATTTCTACTACAAACTTACATCAGTTACATTCTATTAATGACTGAGGATATCTGTATTTTGACAATTATCAAAGGCAAGGCTATAATATATATAGACAAACCAATGAAATTAAAGATAGCGAGTTTGGGACGTTGGAATGTAATTTATTCATCTTTATGATTTAATAGTATGTTTGCATTATAATTTATTCTAGTTCGTGACTAAAATCTTTATTCTAATTCCAAATCCTAAATTCCAACTCTAAATCCTAATCCTAATTCCTTCTATATAATTTCAAACCCTTTTCTGACCCTAATAAGTAGATACGTTATCTCAAAGTGACTTTAACATTACTCAAACTTACTTAATTACTTACGTCTATTACTCCCAATGTAGCATAGGCCAACAACCACCATTCTCCAACCCATTCTGTCCTGGGCATTCCTTTCCAATTTTTGTTCATTTTTCTCATGTCTGTTTCCATTTCTCGGCGTAATGTACTGTTTAGTCTACCTCTTCTCCTTTGGATCTAGAGTTTAAGCGCATACGCCCGAGACTGATAGGTCCTGAGTTCGAATCTCGTGAGGTGAGATCATGAATATGCACTGCTGAAAAGTCCTGACCATCGATTGCTTCCAGGTTTTTGTTTAATGGTAGTCATGAATTCATCTACTACAACTACCACCCCCATCCCTTCTGATTTGTTTTTAATTCTAGCTCAATTGTTTATTTATGATTATTCTATTATAGGAGATCATGCTATATTGAAATTATCTACAATTAGAGATCATATTCAAAGATTATTCAATAATTGTACCCAATCATCAATCGATATTTATGATAATAATGATAATAGTTCAAATAAATTTTCAACTACATCACCATCAATTATAGAATTATATATAACTGTACATTCAACAATTCCAACAGAATTATCATCTAAAGAAGAAATAAATACACTTAAAGAATGTACATTATTAAAAGGTTCAGAAGGTCCTGCATCGAAACCAATACATTTAACTGCATGTTTATTAATTATGGCAGCTGGTTCACTTGAAACAGCATATAAAGTATTTGGTCCTAATCTTGCAACTAAACTTGGTATAGTAAGTTTCCTTGTTGATATTTTAAATGATAATGTTTTTTTTTTCTTTATGATTAGATTGTTATAACTTGTGTCCTGAATACCCTGTTAATGTATAACGTAATGATACCGCCAATTAGTGAGTAGTGATTAATCAATTGAACCAATCATGCATAAAACAAGTACGAGCAGTCTACAGTCATTATTGGTCCTACTTCCTGCTTAACCCAGTCAGTTAAGTTCAGAACACCAATCTCAGGCTCTACGATATGAATCTTTATATTCCAAACATACTGGGGTTTATATACCAATCAAACAGATCACATCGTACCATAAAATAGCAAACAATATTTGTACAAGAATTAGAGAAATGTGACTTTGAATATGGGAGGTAGTAATTGATAGACAGGGACTAATTCAAGAATGTTAAATGGTCTAATAATAGTTCATAGGTCAACATAAGGTTCATAATGAGAGGGACATGAATATGAATAGTTCAGTTATTTAACAATGATACGATAAAATTATACGCATAGTATTGCTGTATAAATGGATCCCAAAAGTTACCATTCATTATGCTTATCGGGATAGAACATAGATAAATGAAATGACTTTGATATTCTTTCTGAGAATTGATAGGGGGTTACTATGGTGGAGTTATAAGAGCTGTTAACGCGTTTTTGATCAAATGAATTGTATCTGAACTGTTTTACAAGTTTTGAGTGTGATACTGAAAATTGTAAGTTGAAATTCTGATGGAGTGATTTCTTTCTTTCAACATTCCAGACTGTGGTAGAATGGAACTTAAATCTGAAAGTTTCTATCATTTACCATGAATTTTTCAATGTTAATTAAAGTGTACAATGATATAGCGTTAACTATTAATGTGATTAAACACGGAAATAATTCAAAACTACTAATTAGATAACATAACAACGGTTACTTATTTACTTACACCTGTTACCCCATATGGAAAAGCATAGGCTGCCCACCAGTATTCATCATTCAACTCTGTCCTGTCCAATCCTTTCTAATTGTTTCTAGTTGCTAGTCTGTGTGTGTTCCTTGATTTTCGTTTATTCCTTTCCCCTTCAAGATTCCAAGTTAGTGCTTGTCTCATGATTTATGTCCTATACACTTCCAGAGTCTTTTCTAATTTCCTCTTCATCTGGAAGCTGGTTTTTTCAGTAGTGGATCACTAGGGGTTACTTCCTAATAAATGTCAACGTTTTGACATATACTTAAGATGTGAACGATTGATAATTCATATTTTACTAAAATCTATTGAGTTTTCAATAAAATATCTAACAACCATACTGTAATGATCGAGAACACAGGTGTGGGGGGACAACCAGTGTATATTAATACGAAATTACAGAGTTCAATACTTCATTGGAAAATTCTTTATCGATTGTCTCATACTACATTGTTCATTCATTTTCATAACAATTACTCTTTGTTCCCATTTTCTTCCGAACTGTCTACTGCTAGGTATTCCATTTCTGATTGATGTTATATACTACTTATGTCGATATAAGTAGCATACACCACAATACTTCTGGACTGCTTAGCTTGATTGAGATAGTGGGAAAAAAAACTTAATTGACACCTACACCCATACTGATAAAAATCAATACTTATAAAACATTCTTCAGCAATTTGGAAAACTCTATCGGTCTCCCACATTGTACGAGCATTTCATGTACCTAAATCAATGGTTGCTCTGGTTGTCAGACTGGGAATCAGAATCTTGACTTCCGAAGGAACTCGGCTTTCACCATGAAGCGTCATAACTCTTCTAAATGAAGACTTTCTAACTCCCAGGGTAGAGTTTAAATAGTATGAATTATTTTTTTTTAGTTAGCTTGTTTTTAGCGAGTTAGTTTTCTACGATATGGGGTCGCTAACCACATACCTAACCCTCCTCCTTTATCCGGGGTTGGGATCTGCAGCAGCCCTAGAGGAACTCCAGGTGGAGTTTCTTGTATGGCATAATAAACTAAATTTTTATCTCCATGTACTACATTGATTTTTAAAAAAATCTTACTCTTGGTATTTCAAAAAACGTAAATACCTACTTTTAAAAGGAAAGCAATTAGATATAGAATACATTCATAAACATGGTAAAACAAATCAGTTTGTATAAGGAATAAACAATGTATTTTACAATTACTTTCATCATTCAAATATTGTGTTTTTCATTAAAACAAAAACTATGAGAAACCCCATCTAATACTAATCAACATATATTCACTAGTGACTGGCTTCATGAGAAATTTCCTGGAGTTCTAGTGAGAAGCAGTGACAAGTGGAGTTGAACTGGATCTGTTGTGAGATAGTAACTCACTGAAGACAATGGTGGATGTGTCGTTCAATTTCGTGAACTGATTGATGTTAGACATTAACACCATTGGATTCCGGTCGGCTTAGTGGTCTAGAGGTTAAGCGCTCACGCGCGAGTCTGACAGGTCCTAGATTCGACTCTGGTAAGGTCGTCCAGTACTTCCTGGTTTTCCATGGTGAACTAGCTTCAATTCACTCATGATCTCAACAATTAAAGTTGCTATAATATTCGCAAAAATCCCTTCTGAAAACTATAAGAAAAACTTTTCTCTTAAAAATTTCATACGAAACAACAAGAAAACGAACTTAGTCTAAGTACTGTCATATGTTTTTTGTCTTACTTTTCATTCAGAATAAGTTATAATTATTTTATGTAGGTGAGCTGAATCTTTTAATAGTACAATTCATTTCAAGTAAAATCTTGTGTACAATTGACCTTTTCTCATTAACCTAAGTGAAGAATTGACTAGTTAGTTTCTGATTTGAGCACTTTTTTCACGAGCTTCTAGAGTTTCATGGTCGCTCACAATTCTATAAACACTCAGTATTTTGTACATAAACTAGCTTTCAAAATAGCGCTTCCTTTATATTTAACCGCCTGTATTGTGTTCTAACTGAAGAGTGAAAAACCTCTGAGGACTAGAAAGTGCTTTGAAAACAGGTGTTTAAGCATTCACGTGCAAGACATCAGTGTACCTACTATTCGCTGCTATTCATGTAATACAATGCTACTTTGACGATAGATGTTTGGCAACCGCAGTTCTTAGCATGAGTTGATGTTTATATTTAATAATTAACTAATCATATTTGCTGAAAGACTCTTATTATTCATGTGACAACGGTATTATGTGTATAAAGCATTCGCTGTAAACAATTGCGCTTTGACTAGTTTTCATCATATTCCATTTTAGGCAGAGATAGATGGTGGCTGGCAGTGCAATCCAAGATATGCTTTTTGTCCTTAATATATAGATACATCCAGCTGACGAAATGCAAGTCGGAAGGAACACGTCTACTAGATTCTACTGCTAGCTACCATCCATCTCTTCACATAATGTTTATGATCTAAGGAAATATCAAGGGAATCAGTATAGGATACACTTATGTCAATAAGAGACTGATCAATTGTAGTCCTAAACATCAATGAGAAGATTCAAACAACCAGTACAAAAATGAATATTCCATTTAAGTTTAAATGCATATCTATTACAATATACAAAAGCAATGAATGAAGTTGAATATAAATCTCCAGTTAAGTATGTTATAAACCAGCGACCACCAGAATAATTACTTAATTACATACTTACTTACGCCTGTTACTCCTCGTGAAGGAGCATAGGCCGCTCACCAGCATTCTCCATTTAACCCTGTCCTGGGCAATCCTATCCAGTTCCTTCCAGTTCCTATTGATCCTTTTCATATCTGCTTCTTTTCCCGACGTAATATGTTCTTTGGCCTTTCTCTTTTCCGCTTCCATTCAGGATTACAAGTTAGGGCTTACCTCGTGATGCAGTTTAATGATTTGCGTAATGTATGTCCTATCCATTTCCATCGTCTTTTCCTAATTTCCTGTTCAGCTGAAAGCTGGTTTGTTCTCTCCCACAGAAGCCTGTTGCTGATAGTATCCGGCCAATAGATGTTGAGTATCTTGCGTAGACAACTATTTATAAATAGTTGTACCTCCGCCTGTAGCTCCTCCAGAGTCACTGCCGGTCCCAAGCCCTGGTAAGAGAGGAGGATTGAGCATGAGGGTAACGAGCTCATCCCGTAGAAAACTAACTAGCTAAAAAAAGTTAACCAGAAAACAATCAATAAACCATGTTAAGTTAACATTCTCTCTAATAAAAATTATATTAAGACTTAGATAACCATTAGCGTATCTCTATTCATATCCTCATGTTGTAGTGAACAAAGACAGCGGTGGGAAAAATCAAGCGCATCTGACTCGAAATTACAGGACTTGTTAATAAAATCTAACAATCATAAAGTAAATGGTTAATTTGCAAAATATCCACCAATTGTCTTAAAATGACTCAGACTTCAGTGTTCTTGCATTTTCATACAAATTGCATTCTGTTTCCATTCTTTACTGTTCGATCCTCTTGTCGCTCTGCTGCCAAACCTTCTGTTCACGACCAATATCATATACTACTTATGTCAATATAAGTAGCACAGACCACAATGTTATTTACATATTAAACTTACTAACACAGACCTAGTTAAATTTTATATTATGACGTAATATCATTGTAGAACAAATCAATTTTCATCTCCAAATTCAATAAATAATACCTTGATAAAATAAGAATTTTTTTCATTTATACGTAAAAATATTTTACATTCAAGTTGTTTGTTATTACTATTATTATTATTATTAGTAGTAGTAGTATTGACAATGGTACTTCAAAAGCAATAATAATAATAATTACATACATACATGCATACATATATAAGTTATTACGTACATACATACATACACACTTATTTACTTACCTACTCACTTACCCACTCAATTACTTACTTACCTACTTACTTACGTACTCACTCACTCACTTACTTACTTGCTTACTTATTTACTTACTTACTTACTCACTCACTTACCCACTTACCTACTTACTTGTTCACTTACTTACTTACATACTTACTTTACTTACGCCAGTTACCCACAATGGAGCATAA